CCCTGATGACGGAGGCAGTATGATCTCTGAAACGTTGGTAAACTTCTACCATACTACACAGCGCAACAACCCAGAAGTCAGAAATCTTAATGTATTTTGTCACAAGAAGGCAGATAAATAAACCAGGCAGACTTCTTCGGGTCTGAAGTGGGACAGTGTGCATAATACTTCAGACTCAGGTTAGGGTGGGGCAATGATCTCACATTTCGGCCCTTTGCCAGCTACAGTGAGTGGCTTGATTCACTCTTGGGATTCTTCAGGACCACTGAAATGAGAATTATAACCACTCTACACCAGACATGCTTCCGTGCCTTTTGCATTCGCGTTGAATTACGATCAGTGCAGGAAAAAAAATACAACTGTAACTATAAACCATTGGTAAACTCAACGAATTTCCTTATTAGCTTATAGTTTAAGCAACCTTAACAGCACGTTAGTAACTCTGAAATAAGACAAACGATACTACTGTCCTTACATCAACAGAGTTCCAAGAAAACAGAAAAAGTCGACATCAGACGTAGAACAGTAATTCTGTTGGCCCAATCATCGTCCAGTGGATCTGAAGGTAAAGAAAAGAGAGACGAGGACTAACGAATCATCCAAAGGCCGGAGAAATCATCTCAAGTCTAAACACGTACCACTTTGAGAGACGAAGCCAAAAAAGCAAGACAGCAATTGAGTTCCGACGTCATGATTTTTGGAAGGGATTTCGCTCACTGCATGAGTGATAGCACATATCACGCAGCTCATTACCTTCAGGCCTTCTCAAATTTTCTTTAAAGTAAGAAGAGTGAAATACTTCTTATACACGGTTCCTCAAACTTTGATAAGTTTCAGGTATGAACTAATAAAAAAGAAGGCCGAGGTAAGCTAGAAGAAAAGTACAGAAAGTTAAGGAGCACTGCCAATATTAACGAATTTGTCCAATTTTCCTTATATTAGATTTCATCGGACAGCAGACAGAACTCTGAAACAATGTTTCATCTTATTCTTGTCGCGTACCCCTTGAAATCGTTTGGACTACCGTACGTCGAGAAACACTGCCATAAATTATTTCATATCAAGTGACCTTAGTGTCACCCCCACATCAAATCTGTACCTCCGCTACGTCCAAGTCACTGACGGTCAGTAAGCCAGTCTGCCCTGGTGCCAAGCCCCTATTTCGACTCACGGCGTCCGCCATGCAATTATTACAGATTGTATGACTCTGAAATATGTGGTTGGGGTGGCCTCCATTAGAAAAACTTTCAAGCCTCGTGAACACCGACCAACTGTTTCGGACTTTTAAAGGAGTGGCACACAAACACAATCAGAATAATCATCAAAGAAGAATGAACAAAAAAAAGTATAGTAAAATATTCACGATACGAAACATAATTCAATTTCATGCAATACCAGCTTTACTTTTTTACCACTGATTTTGCTTTAATTAAATACCAAATAAAGACAAAAAGGGACACAGAAAATGCACGTTACACTTTCTCTCATACGGACAGCAGCCCTCCACTCAGCAACAGCGATTCTCTTGTTACCATCCGAGCCATATTCCAACGAGCCTGGCACAGGCATATAAAGCAAACAAGATTTCAGCTCGTA